GATAATCTGCAATCTGTTTTATATTAGGACACACTCCTTTTACCTTCCCAATGGTTAATGAGCTAAATTTGGTAACTGGATTTTGGCACATTTTGTGGATGCAGGCAGGCCCAAACACTTTCAGTGGGGCCCAGAGCTCTTTGCTAAAGCCTGGACCTTCTATATTCCGTGGCCAGGAGTCACAGGTGGCCCTCCTCGCAAGAGCACCCAAGGGGAAGGTAGCCTCTTCCTAGCCCCCTCTTCCAAGGGGAAGGAGACAGCAAAGATAACACTGGGGAGCTACCTTCTTCCATTTCCTTCCCTTTGCTGCGTGTATGGATTGTTAGAGTTAGGAGAGAACTACAATCTGGAACAAGTGAAATGCTGCTTGTTCAGGATGTCCACGTAGCACTAGGCTGGAGACTTCTTTTGCCCTAGTTCTCTTAGGTTCCAGTTACATCTTACCATGTTGATAAATTCTCATAAGATTTTTATAAGCAAAGATCTCTGTTTTGGGGTAGTTACTTACAGCCTCAAGGGGATGCGACTTTGGGAAAAGGCCCTGGTACTGATGACAATTTCCCTGCCTCTGACCTCACCATCCTTCAACCACATGGGTGGTGGATAAGGTGATTTCCTATCTTGGTCGAAGGAAACCATATTACTTCCCCACTAGGTCTCAAAATAAAGTCCAAGCTCCTTTTCCTCCCACCCCAGGCCTCCCTCTGTAACTTCATCTCTTGGCTGCCTCTGCAACTCACACCCCGGCAATTCTAAACTATATACTGCTCGTTGAATGTTCCATGCTTTTTCTAGCCTCTGCCTTGAATGTCCTCCCTATCCACTTTTGCCTGTCTAGAAATTTTCTACTCAAACTTTGAAACGCTGTTCAAAACTCAATTGCTCTGTGAACCCTTCTTGGCCCTTGCTGAAGCTCCCTTTCCACCACGAGCCAGGGAGATATAACCTCTCTTCCCTCTATAACACCTCCCCACCTTCGGGGCACTTCTGTACCTGAAGGTAGCCTGGCGAATCGCAGTTGTTGGTTACATGCCCATCTCCTCTGACTCCCCAGGGCAAGACCAGCATCTGTCTCATCTTTACATTCCTGCAACTTAGCACATGCTGGCACTCAATAAATGCCAAGTGGATGAAGACTGATAAGCACTTCAGGCAGCAGGAAAGGAAAAGGGGCTTGAAGGATGCCAAGTCTTCTTAAGCATGCTTTAGGGCTAGGACCAAAGTTGGGTCGGGGCAGAGTTAAAAGCTGGCTGTGGAAAAGAGAGATATTGATGATAGGACACTGACTTTCTAAGCATTCTGGACCAGGGCTTGGGAGAGTTGAAAGAAATCGATCATTTGGGTAAATACACCACTGCCCAAGGCAGCTGGGTGGGGGTACCAACAAGACTATAAAATCTTATATTAGCCTCAGAGAGCAGAAACATCTGCTAAAGCCACAGCGGGCAGGCTGGCCAAGTTCAGCAGCAGGTTAGCCAGGACAGCCCTATGACCAACAGAAAGAGCCACAGAGGGGAAGAATCAATCATTCTGGCAAGGAGGAAAAGGAAGGACTAGCAGTGAGATGGGGGCCGGTCACCCATACCCACGCAGGGTTCTCTCCCATCTGGAGGGGCCACAGGGGCCTCTTCTGCCCTTCTCAGCCCAGGCCTTTGCCGGCTCCCCACCCAAAGCCCCTCACGCCCTCAGTGCCCCTCAGCCATCTCAGCCCACATCTGCGGCCTGATGGCCTGGGGAGTTTTCCTCCTTTTCTGTGAGGACTTTGAGGTTTTTAACAATAAGGTGCACTCAGCTAGATGCCCCCCTATACACTGATACAACTTAAAGGAAATACATAATTCATTTGCCAGCCAACATCTCTGTTTAAAGAGTTTTCTTTTTCATATCAACACTTCTGTGAATTCGGAATTTGATCAACTTTTTGCTACACAGTTTGACGTTAACAAAACATCAACGCTCTGACAACCTGCTGGTGTCAGAAAGGAACATCTTAAAACTCTTTGGACTCTACATGAAGACAGGCTTCCAATCCCAATCTTTGATCTCTATTATAAAGCAGTACCAATAAAATATCGTAGAGATTTATGGGCAAACTTTCACTCGAGCTGTTTCACACCTAAAATAACATGAATGCTTGGGCCAAAAGGCAGAAAATTTAGGTTTAGGTTTCAACTGTTTAGGTTTTCTTTTACTTTTAAAACTTAATTCACTTATTTTCTAAAATTATCTTAAAATTTGCAATTACATTATATTTCTCTCCCAGAGAAGACAGTTTAGAGTCATTAACTGAGCAGATGTCATGTCATTCCAAGAAGGACAAGCCTAAGTTTGGGTAGACAGTTGTTCCCTGTTCTAAAGGAACCATCTTTTGAAAAAAAGCAAGTGTTTTTTTCCATAAGATTTACACGAACACTATTTAAATTTATCTTTACGCCTGAGTATACCCTATTGTTAATAAGAGTAACCAAATAGTTATTACTGTGAGTAAAATCTAAACAAAAAGAATTCCATTTAAAAGCCAGTGAGATGGTATTTGGACCCAAGATGTGTTTCATTGGATATTGCCCCTAATCTGTGGAATAATTTCCCAAATAAAACTTAAGTTGTAATTCTGATATCAGTCACTTACTTACAGGTCAGAGTCTGAATGAAAAGAAATTAGTGTCACATTCCCTATAGATGGGAAACCAACCGGAGCCCCCAGTCCTCCCCCTAACCCGTGTGATGAAACTGGGAGAAATGATTGCACCAAATGAGAAAGAAGCAGAGAATCTCAAAGGAGGGGTGGGGGAAGCAGCTCATCCAGTTTTTAAGAAGACCTTTATAGGAAAGTAAAGTGAAAACAGCAGAAAAGTTCCTGGACACAGTCCTTTAAGAAACAAAAACGAGTAGGAAGAAAGGTCAGAGCAGCGGTTCAAAGGAAGCAGAACACAGTGCTACTGCTGTCCAAGGTTGCGGGCCGGCACCACACGCCTGCCAAGCTGGAGGCAGTGCTGGGCAGCAGAGACACATGGCCTTTCTTCCACCCAGCTCCCCACTTTTAGAACTTAGCAGCAGAGCCCCAACTCTGCGGCCCCAAAGAGAAATTCTAGAACCGTGATGATCACAAAACCAAAGTAAATAGAAAAGGAAACATGCTTAGTTATTTAACCCAATTTTATTTTTTCATTTTCTGATTTTAAACCATAATTCCTGGTTAAAAAGGAGAATGAAGCAGCTGGTGCATGGCCTTGGTTTCATGGCCATGGAGGGGCGGCCAGGGAGGAAGCCTAGCACGTTCATGCTCAGAGACACCTGTGGGATGTAAGTTTGTGCTGCATTCTCTTAAGCTTCCTCTGTCTGCCCACGGCTTGGGCACAAGTGTCATAGACACTGTGAGGGATGGAGTCCAGCAGAAGTTCTTAAACATCTCATTTAGGCTTCAGCCAGCCAGAGGCCAGGTAGGGATATGATTTGTTTGACACATACAAAGTTTGGTATAGAAATTCCCCTGCTCAGATGAGGATATAGCTGGCCATTCTTATTAAGTGGTCACTGAAGGTTCCGGGTCTTTCAGGCACGACTGTTCTTAGAGGTCACATACTGTCCATGGCAAATTACTTGGAACTGGGTATTGATGATTATGCAGCTTCTGACTCAGAATTTCCAGGCTCTGAATAACTCTGTCTCTCCTTCTCCATTCAGTATTCTAATTTCTGGGATGGCAGAAAACACTTAAATGGTGGTTCTGATCACCTAATATAAATGGCAGGCAAAGCTGAACTCCCGAAGAAACCGGCTGCCCAATTCTGGAGCAGGCGGAGTTAGGGTTTTGTTCAAATATTCTAGGTTGCAGTGATCCAGAGAGTACTGTCACGGGGCAGGGGAGAGGAGGTGCTAGGTCATCCTAGGGAGGGCCTCCACATATTAAGGGCAGCTGTGGCAGATGGCAGCTCTAGCTTTCATCTGGGACAAGGGAGCTCATCTGGGCTAGCTCTCTCCCGAGTGGGAGCACAGGGTGCCAGACAGGGTGACTTCCACCATGGGGTTAAAGATATCACTGTCAAAACTATTTGGCTTAGCGAGATTGGGGGAGCCAAACTTGGGCCACAGGCAACAGGACCTTTAGCCCCTAAAGGACATTGCTGCAATCGAAGCCTAGAAGAGTCTCTTTCCTTTTGAGAAGTTAGTTATCAGGACGCACAGGTTGGAAACATGAGTGAAACGCTTAATATCAGAAATCCTAAGAACTTTTGGGATGTCCTGGAGAACTTTTGTTCCAGAACTGCCAATACCTTTGTGGGTATCATGTAGGCACTTTGCTAGAATTGGAGCCCAGGGATTCTAGAACACACCCTTCTTGAGGTTGGCATGAAGACTATGATGTTTTAAGTGGTTGAGGACCATGTGTGAGGTAGGGGAATGCTGGAAGATCTGTACAAGGTTGGGCTACAGAAATGAATGATGATTCACCTGTGTGACAACCTATCTGTTCAGGAGAGAGTCTATGCTTTCACTGCTAGCAGATGCTTGGGGCACTCAAAGGCCGAATGGCATTATAGTTCACTGGACCTGGCAGAGGCATGTCTGGAAATCCATCTTCCACATGTCACACGCACTGCCAGGTATGGTTGGGGTGCATCAACGCATGGAGACAGATGGTCTTGGGTCTGTGGGAATGAGCTTGCTGAGTCCTGGTTTAGAGCAATAGTTTGAAACCAGGTATTTTCCCTCATTTCTTTCTAAAGCTGACTGCTTGTTGGAGTTACTTAGGTGGCAGGGTCACTCTGAGACGAAGCCTGAGATGAATACCTGTGTCTTCCCGACATCTCTTCAGGAAAACATGCCACAGAGGGCAAGTACTTTTCCAGGTAACCACTGCCCTTAAAAGACCTTATTAGGAGATAAGATATAAGAAAAGATATTCAGACAAAACTAGTGTACCTCATGATTTTCTTTTTCGAGAAAAGGAAAACCAAAAAAAAAAAAAAAGAAGAGACAAACTAGAGATGGATCTTTACCTTCTGAACCAAGTAGACGCTTGTGGCTCTCGCAGCAGCCACTCTGTCCAGATCAGATCCCTCAGGAATGAAGTAACTCACGTCAGCGATGTGAACTCCCACTTCAAAGTTGCCTGTAAATGCACAAGAAGAACATTCATCAGCCTGGTTTGGGGGGCCAAGGAATCCCTCCTAGGAATCCTTTCCAAGAACACATGTCACTCCCAGAGGCCACAGGACTTGAAGTACAGGCCTCCACCGCCGGTCCTGCCAGGCACTCCCCCTAACCCCTGTGCCTGCGCTACTGCCACTTTCCTCACTGTACACCAAAAGATGGTGGGATTTTTATCATGGATAAACAATATTAAACACTTTCACAAGATGTCTCCATTTCTAAAGGCTTCTTATCTTTGAATCTGTAGACTCGGAGAAGACATGGCTCATTCTGGATGATGAACAAATCCTTTCAGGTCATCAGAAAGAAGTGAGTTAATCCCCATTCCCAAATCCTGCAGATGCTGCTCTGAAAACTCCACCCTTCCCGTCCATTCCCACAGGCCACAGCCCTTGTTCAGCCCACGCCGGCCGCCCTCTTCCCTAGCCCTCCACACTGTTGCTGTAATCCTTCTAAACACGGATCTGGTGACGTCACTCCCTGGCCTGTTAGTTGTGTCCTTGCACGGTTGCACCCCCAGCAACCTCGTGGGCCTTCAGGCCCATCCTTCACATGCACTGTGTGCAGCTGTCTTGGGAAACCTTTCCACTCCCTAAACGTGTCTTACCTCAACCCACTCAGATGCTTGCTTGGCTCATGCTTTTTCCAATGTTTGGGATAATCTCAATAGCATCTACCTATTGAAAGAGAATCCCAAAACAAGAAGAGACTCTTCTGCCCTCTGTTTCCTCCACCTGTGCAGTTAAAGCACCTACTCCCTATCTGATGATGCTTACCACGGTCTTTCTTCAGAGCTCTCATCACTGCCAGATACCACAGCATATTTTATTGGCTTATGTGTTCATTGTCTGCCTCTCTCCCTACAGTGTAAGCTACCGAAAGTCAGGGCCTTTTGTGTAATGGTTACTGTTGTATGCCTAGTACCTAGAAGAGTGCCTGGCACATAGTAGGTACTCAATAAATACTTGTTGAGTGAACAAATCAACAGCTGGTTTGTTTGCCTTTTCCCTCTGGTAAAAGACCTACCTTTTTTTTTTCCCCCCTTTCTGAACTACCTTTTCCCTTCCTGGTGCAGCTATCTTTCAGTAGGCCCTGCCTGTTGACTACATAAGCCGGGAGCTGCCAGGAAACATCTCTGCCATATAATCATGCCAATACAGAAAATAATAGGTCTAAGAAAGAAAGGAAGAGTCATGATTACCTCATTTGAACTCTAGGATCCAGCTGAACCTGAAGCTAGTCTACCTGTAGACTAGTCCCTTTCCACCATGACTCACTGAAGAGTCTTGACTGATACCCAAGTTGACTCAGAAGAGCTTATTAACACACTACCATTTGCTCCCTTGGTTACCTGGATGATCAGCCTAAGGTATGACATATTTTATCTACAAATTTTATAGCTATTTATTATCCTCCTATTCCTTCTTCCCTGGGGGATAATTCCTTCCCTCAGTTTTTGAACGTTTCAACATGGGGTGCTTAAAATAAGGGATTCGGGCAGGAAAAGAATTTAAGATTCCTTATTTTTCATCTGGTCTGACACTCAGAGACCACCCTCCTACAGGGCATTCTTTGGGTTTTTCTACCCAATCCTGTAATATTAATATATTAGGGAACACCTAAGAGATCCCGGCTGCTATGCGGTAACACAATAGATCTGTTTCCCACAGAGGAGAGGGCTGTTTGGAAAGTGGAGAGAAACCAGTATGACTCCAAGTCTAGCTGCCTCGTCTGACAGGCACGCAGCTGTGCCGTTGGGTCATTGGGAGAAGCGAAACCTGCCCTGCGATCGAGGAACTCAATTTTAAGTGGATTCAGCCAAGAGTCTCAGACGGCTCAACTTCCAGTTTTGATATTTCAAGTATCTAAAACCAACACTTGGAAAAGGTAAAATAAAGTGTCTTCTTTTGAAGTCAGCATTATAATATATTGGCGTAACAGGTAAATATTGACTAAAGGAAAAAAGATAGGATTATTACATCACGGTATAAACCATAATTTAAAATTCAGTCTCTGTGTTGTTACTACACATGAACTTTCTGTTCTTAGTCAAAGTTGACAAACTGACAAAGAGTTCATTACAGGAGATAAAACATGAAGGAAGCCAATCAAAACATACTGGAGAGGCTTAAATTTCACTCAGAATTCCCAGCAGAGCCTCTAAAACCAGCAAAGAGAAGCACTCTTATTCTCCGGTTTGGACCTTTTTTATGGCAACCCTAAGTAAATATTTTATTACATATATTGACATAATGTGAACTTGCAGAACTCTTGAGGTAGTGGCACTGAAGTTTTATTCTATGAAAGCGAAAATATAAATTCCAAAGTTTATATAGCATATGCTGCCATAATATTTAGAACAAATTCGTTGTTTTAAAAGATACTGTCTTTCATATAAAAGTGTTCTTTTAAATTAAAAAAAAATTCCAACTTTCATCTACTGGAGCTAAAGTGGGTCCTGTGAGTTTTGAAGAGCAGCCTGAGCAGAAAGAGGAAGGCTCTCCAAGGTCTGCCACGCGTGGTTCACTTTGCACAGGGTCCACAAACTTAGACGAACACAAATACTCTTTTGAGTGAACTTCAGAGGACAACAAAACTGTTTCATCCAATTCAAACACTAATAGAATCTAAAGCTAGGGCCTCAGGAACCATCCCTTTGAAGCCAGCCTCCCAGCAGTACAGCCACTTCCCAGCAGTGTTCCTGCCAGGTGGCCCCTGATATATCCTCAAGGGTGGGGTGCTTATGTCTTCTCGAAGACCCTTGCTTTCTTCTGAAGAGCTCTGGTTGTGAGAAAGCACTTCCTTACGTGGATCTACAATACATGGAAATGGAGCCTCTCATTTATGCCAACACCGGGCATCCCTAAGTGGTGATCCCTCCCTTTAAGGAGCTCTCGGTCTAATGGGGTTGGCAGATACACCCACTTCCATGACTTCTTTTAAGGAAGATCTAACCACGTCCTTATTGCTCTTCCTGCCATGTCAAACCCATTTTCCACACTGAAGACAGTGCTGTTTTCAAAACACAAATCTCCTTGTGACGCCACTGTGGAAACCTCCAGGGCCCTGGGTATGCAGCCCAGACCTAGCTTCCAAGGCCTCACTGGCCAGGCTCCTGCCCCACTGCTCTAGTCCCCTCACCTTATCTCTCCCCTCCTCCCTCTGCAGGTTATCCTGTCACTACTTCATGACGAGGAGATGCCAACCAAACTGTCCATGATGTGGGTCTGCCCTGGGCAGTATGACTTTCCCGGCTCTTATCCCTTAATACCAGTTGTACCCCCAAGTCACTGTGGTGGAACTCCTAGGGCTGCTCACACCTCGGGGGCTCCACACTGTTCCCCTGTGTGGGGTGCCCTTCCCCCAGTCCTCTTCCTGGCAACTCCTGCTGGTCCTTCAGAACACCACCTAAAGCCCACTCCCTCTGGCAGGCCTGTCCCGATGACCTAAATCAGGCTCGACACTCTCCCCCACCCCTGGCCTTTACGCATCTTCCCACAGCTTCTCATTGCCCCCCTGCCCCAGTACCATTTACTGCATGCAGATCATGGGATTCCCCCCTACTCTCTGCAGTCAGCATGAGGGGCAGGGAGAGGGCCTGTGCACAGTCAGTGACTGAAGTTCACTGAATGAGTAAGAAACTAACAAGAAGTATAGGGCAGACCCGTGGATACTCTGGGCTGAAAGGATTGTAAACGCTGCCTGGTCTAACGGTTCATGCAGGTGCTGAGTCCTCCCCATACCAGGTCTGCACAGAGAGCATCCAGCCTGTGCTTGCATACCTCAGGTGACTTAGGAATCACCACCCCGCAGTGTAGCCCACTCCGTGCTCAGATAAAGTAGCTATCATTTTTTTTTCTCTTTTCAAGCCAAAATATGTCTCCCTAGAGTTTCCATGTATTGGCTCTAATTCTGGCTCATGGGGCTGCCCAGAACACGCCCATGTCCTCAGAGGACAGCAATCTGGAAAGAAAAACAGGTGAAACGACAATCTCTGGCTGAGAGAAGACTGAAGCAGGGCTGGGGTCTGCTTTTAGGGGAGCACCAGCTTTGATGATGTAGATGGTCGGCATGTGGCCCCCCGGGGCTTCTCTCCTTCAGACCAGCTACCCACATAGCATGGCTCTGAGTCATCTCAACATCCATCTCCAAACATGCTCCTAATAACCACCTCCATTCACTCAGCCATTCAACAAATACTAATTAAGCTCCTACTATGTGTCAGGTCCTTTTCTAGGTGCTGGCTACATCCAAGTAAAGAAGACTGACAAGGTCCCTTCTCTTACGGAGCTCACATTCTTGTGGGGAGAGAAAGACAACAAGCAAACAAATTACAAGATTACTGACAACAGTAAAAAGGACTGTGGAGAAAATAAAATGGGGTGAGGTCATGAGAATTAGTTAGGAAAGGTCTCTCTGAGGAAATAAACAGACCTGTGGGTCTAAAAAGGATTAGCAATACCTGGCCCCCACCTTTTTTGTTCTCTTTGCCATCCAGCAAAGGGTTAATAAGGACCTTTAGTTGAAAACTCCTTTACTAGCCAGCTATTCCCAGGCAGGAGAATAGCCAGAGCTAAGGGCAAAGATGGGGGTGAGCTTGGTGTGTCTAAGGAATAGAATGAAGGCTGGAAAGCAGGGGAGAATTGGAAGCAGAGATGCTACTGAAGTAGACAGGGCCCAGTGAGAGCTGTCCTGCTGGGCCAGGATGAAGTATTTTTTATTTCAAGTGCTGTGGGAAGCCACCAGAAAGTTTTAAATAGAGAAGGGACATTAACTGAATATACCCTAGTCATGGATCTATTAATGCAGTCTATGTTCACACCGAAATGAAAACAAAGAGCCTGAAGAAGACCACAATCTCTTAGGAATAGCACTGATAGGCAAGCAAATTAATGATTTAGTGAAGTAATATGTTTGGTAAACAAAGGTAGACGACAAAAGCAGCACAACCTGCTAGGC